TTCAAGTTTGTAGAAGTGTCAGAGTGTATCTAATCTTGCTCTGTGCTATGGTTAAATTTACCCTGATGAGTCACGTTCGTGAATACGGGTTAATTGCTGTCTGGGGTAAGGTTTACACTCGAGGGTAAGATTAGCCCTCAAGGGCTAGATTTACTCCCAGGGTTCGTTGATCGATACGGATTAATCGCTTTGCGGAGCTAACCCTTCCCTGCACTCAAGGATTCGTTGATGAGTATGGCCAACGAACCCTGAGAGTAAAACCTACCCTTGAGGGTAAGGGTTCGTTGATAAATACGGCCGCAGAAGTAGGAGGATTTGCCCTAAGTTTGCTCAAAACTATTTTGATTGTTTTTTTAAGTTGTGATTTTACACACAATTTTGCTTTTCTCTCAAGTAATGATTTTCGTCAGAGAAGATCATCTTCACCACGCTGATAACATATTTCAGTGTTGAGAATAAAACACGGTTGTTGTCAGCGAAAAACTCTAAGAATGCAAGATAAAATTAGAAGGAAGGTCAGCAAAGGACATGAAAATCTGAAGCTACTAGGACCTTTTCACAAGCAACGTGACTCTAGCAGTGAACATGAGTTATAATTCTAAACTCGGCACCTGTAGCCTCCAGGCGCCCGGTGTAGGTTTGTTGTCACAGTATTAGTCTTGAACCCAACCCATGGGATGTACGAAGCACTATATCTCGTGTGTCGGTTCTGAGATGTCTAGTTCGTTCCTAAATAGCTCCTCAACAGTTCCTCTATTCACTGTTCTGTATTAGCTCGTCTGTATCTCATCAGCTACTCTTATTCTCTGTATTTGCATGTCAGCTTCTTTTGTGGTTGTCATATTTTGTGATAAACCACTTATATTTTACCAGTTGTTCTGCTAAGTCAGTGGAACCTGCGGTCAGACCGTCCTACCGCCACTTGGGGGCCGAACCGCTGACTTAGCACCGACAACTGTGGAAGCGTCAAAGACCTTCCAGAAGAAGCTGAATTTTGGAGCGTCAACGACCTCCAAAGTCGATTAAGTTTGGGGCGTCAACGACCTCCAAATCAATTTGAAGCGGCGATTGTATCCCGCATAAGCCTATCGCGTCTTAGACCGATAGATTGGGGCACCAGTGGTCCCCATATTGATTTCTGAGGCGGCGGACGTATTCCCGCGTAACCTATCGATCTATTGGTCGATTAGCGTTGACGGTATAGAGCGCGCTTAAGGCCGCTTATATGAATTGCAAGAACTACTGGGAGTGCGTAGCATCGCAGAACCATACTTCACGGAAGTTTGGTAGAGCTACTCGGTGCATTGCTGTGTGTACTCGAGTTTCGCGTCGCTCGCTTGTAGCGTTCGATCGAGTCCTACACTCAAACAGAGTTTGTTGTATAAAGATTTGGGTGGCATGATGAAGGAAGAAGAGGAACATAGGGCCCAGCCAAGTACAGATAACGAGTTGTTAAGTGAACGGGAAGAAGAGCGAATCCCCAATGGCACAGATGTACAAAGAAGTTCATGATAGCTTGAACCTCGTAAACATAGAGTGCGAAAAAGAACTGAGCACATTTTTTCGCACAGGTGACAAACGCAGAAAAGCGTTCTTGACAAAGCTAAAAGAGCAAATCGAAATCGCAGAACGGAAATTAAGAGTAATCCTTGAAAGTTCTGTACGCACAAGAGGTGACCTAGGAGGAACGCAGAGTGACTCTGAGATATTGTAGTTCCTTGCAAAGGCTGGGTTGATGTCACCAGAAAACCTGAAACGTTGCCTTAATGAATACTTCACTCACTGTATATTAATTGCAACCCTGTGTGCAACGCTAGACTGCAGTGAGAAAGACTTGGAGGAAAGGCCAAGGAAGTGTCAAGTGAGGTTTAGTGCCTCAGGTTAAAGCTCAGAAACTTGAGCAGAGGTTGCGGCTGTCATGAAGCCAGCACGAACCCATCTGACAATGATGCAGATCGGGAAACAGACACTTCAGAAGGCAACTCTGAGTTCCTATTGTTCGACGCAAATACCAAAGATTTGCCAACCTGAATGAGGAAGGTAACATACTTTTGTCGGATCGTCAAGTGGCGAAAGTGCAGAATGCGCAAGATAGTGCACTGAAGACCTCCTCGCATAGGCACAGATTAGAGTTGGGCAGAAGCAATCGACAATTGTTGGACACGGATGTGCATAATGTCCGATTGCAAGATGCATCACAAAATTCCAATTCCGAGTTTACCATGAGAAAATTCATGTTGGCGTCTACAGTACCAGACGTAAAACCTTTTCATGGTAAAGCAAATGAGAGTTTCAGCAACTTTTTGGAATCATTCCTGTTGAAGTACCCAAGGAAGCATTGGGATGATGAAATACTAGTACAACTTCCCAAAAGTTTTCTGAAGAGGGAAGCTTTGAATCTATTTGAGACACTACTGCAAAGTGTAAAAGAAGGTTCCTTCGACGGCGTAGTCCAGGCGATGAGCGAAAGGTTTGCTGAAGGGTCAACACTTCTCGTGTAAAAGCTTGGCTACACTGAGGAATCTGAGAATGAAAAGAAATCAGACAGTAAGTGATTTCTGCTATGTACTGGAGAGGACGTGCAGTCAAGCCTACCCTAATGAAGAAAAAGGGGATGGGGTGGCACTCCAGAAAGCGGAATTTCTGTATTCCCAGTTAGCTAATTGGGAAGGAAGCTATATCTTGGCTGAAGCGATTGAGACTAGCCCGCGAGATGTCGTTTATGACAAAGTAAAAGAAGCAGCGCTGAGGCTGGAGAGAAACCTGCATAGAAAGGAAGTCAAGCAGGGCAGCGATATGCATAGCAAAAAAGCTTTATGGCAATCAAGCTTCACCGAGACAATGGTCTGATTTGGAGTCGGCCGTTGATCATGGTGAAAGTAGAGAAAGATTGACCGTAAAAGGCAAAAAGAGAAGTAGTTGCTTCAAATGTGGCAAATCAGGGCATAAAGCAAGACAGTGCACGCTGCAGAACGCCACAAAGGGCAACGCAGAAAGAACTGAACGATACAAGGCATCTTCGTTCTCCACTGCTCTTGATAGGTGGTTATGTGCTACCACAGGTGTCAGGAAGAGTGCTGAAGAATTTGTCGGTAAGAAGGTAGCTGTGCCGGCAAAAGTAATGAATATGGAAGTAAACGCACTTATAGACACTGGATCCGAGGTGTCCATAGCATCATTAAAGCTGTTCACGAGGGCCAAAGAAGCTAGAATCGATCTAGATACTTATGTGGAGAGGATCTCACGAGCTGTATCTGATGCTACGATACGCGACGCCTCTGGCAACATAATAGAGGTCTTGGATGCAATCAAGATGCCTGTGGAAATGTTTGGCAAATCCAAGAAGATTCCGGTATATGTTGCCAGATCGTTAGAAAATGAGCTGATCTTGGGGACAAATGTTCTATGCAATTTTGGTGTCAAAGTGATTCGAAGTGATACCAATAGAGACTTGCTCAAGTATTCAGTCAGGGATCCTCGAATGTAGTGAAAGATCGGAGTGATAGACTACTTGGAGGAAACAAGACGAAGCCAAAAGTAGGAAGGAGACTTTTAATGGGCCAAGAAAGAAAAAAAGAAACAAGGCGCACAAAGCGCAAAAAGATGAAGCAAGATTCCAAGAATCAAAGCGGAATCGTGGACGAACCATTGACCGATATGAAGCAATCGATAAAACTGTGAAGATGCACTTGCCGAAAAAGAAACAGCCAAAGAATAGATCAGTCGATGTCAAACGGATAAGCGTGGAACAGCAAGATGAAGGTGATTCCAACGCATCAGCAAACAAGAATGTTAAGAAACTCAAGAGTGTCAATGCGAAGCGGTATGGGAAAATGTACAGATGTACCGGATACCCTCGCGCATTTTGGGATTCTCTTGAAATGGTCGAATATGTCAGAGCACATGCCTGCCGAACTAGTCGCACAAGTGGAAAGACACAACAAAATCAAACAGAAAGGAGTGAACACTTGTTGCGGTGTCAGAAATTTGGAAGAAGGTCGCTTGGACATGGATCGCATGGACAAGGATCGCATGGCCAACGATCGCATGGACAAGGATCGCATGCACAAGGATCGCTTGGACAAGGATCGCATGGACAAGGATCGCATGCACAAGGATCGCTTGGACAAGGACCGTTTGGACAACGACCACAGGGAGAAACAAGGAAGAAGAAATTAAGATTGTAACCGTGTTGTCATTTTTGTTGGTATACGGTAGTATTGTGTTTGCTTTATTTGTTGTGCTGTTACTGTGTAATAATGAGTTTTTTTCCAATTCTGGGGGGCTAGATTAGGTGTTGTTAAGTGTCGGGACGCCACTTACGATAAAGGGGAACATGTAGCCTCCAGGCGCCCGGCCTAGGTTTTTTGTCACACTATTAGTCTTGAACCCAATCCATGGGATGTACGAAGCACCATATCTCGTGTGTCGGTTCTGAGATGTCTAGTTCGTTCCTAAATAGCTCCTCAGCAGTTCCTCTATTCACTGTTCTGTATTAGCTCGTCTGTATCTCATCAGCTACTCTTATTCTCTGTGTTTGCATATCAGCTTCTTTTGTGGTTGTCATATTTTGTGATAAACCATTTATATTTTACCAGTTGTTCTGCTAAGTCAGTGGAACCTGCGGTCTAGACCGTCCTACCGCCGCTCACCAGTATAAGCCTTGGTATGGGCAAAGTAAATTCAAGCTGTTTGAGGACCTGGTAAAACATGGATACTCAAATTTCTAAGCCTTTGAAGGCCTGAAACTAGAAGATTTATCATCACATTTCAATTTTCATCCATTCATCCTATGAGTTGACGCAGAATTATCTCGATGTTTCTGATCGTCAAATATTGGTGGTAAGATACTCGGGTTGTTCAAGCATTAAAAGGTTACTCAAGATCATGATGACGTTTCTCCTCTTGCATTGTCATCCCAATATGCTCTCGTGTGACTTCTTGACTCCAATTTGTTGTTCTATGGAACAGTATATCTTAGTTAAAGGGAGCACTTTAGGATGCAAATGAACGCCCTGGTCTTTGCGTTGCTTTCAATGGCGGAAGCCTTCCTGTATCCAAACAGTAGCGAACAAATATCCAGGTTTGTTTTATGTCAACAAAATTTATTTGTAAGTGTTGACTCTTTAGGAGTTTGGATCAATCTCCTAATCTCTTCTACCTTAATCATTCTAGCGCAGGTAAGCAAGATATTCACTTTTTGTACAATGGTGCAACGGCCGAGCTGGACTTTTGAGAATATAAGAGTGAAGCGCCGTTGCAGCAGACTATTCGACATAAAACTATTTTTGAGAGTCTACTAAAAGTACATTCTTTTTTCCAAGTTTTTTGAATGAAGTATTAGCGTCAAGTTTTACTAAAATCTTGATTTTAGAGCTCAAGAAAAGCAGATCAACAGCTGCTATAAGGAATGCTGGCTTTCTAGATGAAACTCTAAAACACGATTATTGCTTTCCAATAGCATAATTCCAATATTTTAGCACTATTTTGCGACCCCTACAAAGTGGAGGCCAGTTACTGCCATTTAGAAAAATTTCATGGCACAATACAGTGAACTTGCCGTCCAAGCGCTTCGTAATTGCTAAAGACGTGTGGTCCTTCGTAAAACCCATCAATCGTTTTTTAATGAGTTTGAGAAAAAATTCGTCAAAGTAGGTGACTAAATTTGTCAACAACGGCACTCCGTTTAGAGTGCTGCCTTTCGTCGGTGTATATGCAAAACGAAGTCAAGTTACAAATTAGGTGATTTCCTTCTTCAGAATCTTTACCAGTGATACTAAAATGGAGGTCCTCAATATAAACTGATGTTCAGCTTTGTTCCCTTAGGGCAAAGTACCTTACAAGGGAAGGATACTCGGTCGAAGTGGCCATTTGGAATGAGCTGTATATTAGGAAACCGTCCTCCGTAAGACAAACTCAAAACTACTTTCGCTAGGTGCCGAGCGGTTTTTTGGGGGGAGTTACAAGGCCATTTCCCCCGGCGCAGCCAGCGCACCCAGTGATGAGCGAGGCGCGTAGGGTAACGTAGCAGTGTGGCAGTGGCGCAGTGGCAACGCAGCGGACTACGAAGCAGATGGTCGAGGGTTCGAGTCCTGATGCTGCTATTTTGTTTTGCAGTTCTGTAAAAAGTCTATTGGGTGACACCAAAGGAGAAATACTATTTCTGGGCAGTTCAAACAAGCTATCTACTGCAAAAAAGTCACTATTTCTACAATAAGCCATAATCTTTTGCAATATGTAAATCTGTGGAGGTTATGATGTCACAACAATTTTAAATGATATATTAACATGTATGGAATACAACCACAAAATGCTCAAAGCAGAAGAACTTCTCGCAACGCGCGCGCTTTCAAAATTGCAATCGATTCACATCCCATTTTTTGGCTCTTGATCTGAACTTTACCTTGCATCGTAGGGATTCCATCCTTAAGATATCATCGCTCATTTACACACAATTTTGCTCGCCGCGATTCAAAAATTTGCTTTCATACCCATGGATGCAGCCGGATACATTGACAACCACCCCGGCGAATTCGAGTCTCCTATTCAGTACTATTTTTCACCGACTTTGATAGGCAATTATGAAGCTGCTGATTGTCATCGTTTTATTTTATCCGATGTGCGCGCTGCGAAAAGCTCTTCTACTTTGAGCAGTGGTTGTATTCCATACATGATAATATATCACTTGAATCCCTTGTTGTGACATCATAACCTCCACAGATTTGCATACTTTAGAAGATTATAGTTTATTGCAGAAATAGTGGCTTTTTTGCAGTAACTAGCTTGTTTCGACTGCCTAGAAATAGTATTTCTCGTTTGCTGTCACCCAATAAACTTTTTACAGAACTGCAAAACAAAATAGCAGCAACAGGACTCGAACCCTCGACCATCTACTTCGTAGCCCACTGCGTTGCCACTGCGCCACTGCCACACTGTTGCGTTATTCTAGCGCCTCGCTCATCACTGGGTGCGCTGGCTGCGCCGGAGGAAAATGGCCTTGTAACTCCCCCCAAAAAACCGCTCGGCACCTAGCGAAAGTAGTTTTGAGTTTGTCTTACGGAGGACGGTTTCCTAATATACAGCTCATTCCAAATGGCCACTTCGACAGAGTATCCTTCCCTTGTTAGATAGTTTTTCGATAAGTCAACAATTCTAATCGTTCGAAATAGAAAGTGTTGTATAGATTCAAAACCCTTTTTTAGATGTTTCATTGGCACATATTGCATTTTCGCAAAGGATGTAAACGGTTAAATTAGGACTGTCAATAGAAACAAGGGACTATTGCACGATTTTGATTGTAAGATTCGATACAAAGCTGTGTATAAGAGCACATAGCTAAAATACGATTCAGCTCATTCTCGTGGAATTAATTCCTAGCGTAATCAACATTGTCAGCCATCGGAATTTTTCTTTGCAAACACCTGTTTTTTTTTAATCTTTTATCACTTCGTAAATATTGTATGCCCAGATAGTCTCTCAAGCTTGAATCAGGATTTTTCAACTTCAACGGAGGAGAGCCCGTTTGTTGGGCAGTTTGTTCAGACTTTGCTCTTTCAAAATGTGCCTTTTTACAGCCAACACTTATGAATGATGTAATTGTAAGAAAATAGTCATTACCTAGGTTCTTATATAGAGGTTCAACAAAATAAGAGCTTACATAAAACAAGCTGATCGCGAGAAGAAAAATAGGTGCTGCTAAAATTCTTTAGACAAAATTTCCGACGAGAAGGAAAAGCTGCGAAAAATTCTCATTCTGAAAATATCATGCAGAAGTCGCATGAGCTTCCGAGCAGTTGTCGAATGTTGAAGATAGAATCTACGCTGAAACCAGCTATGTTAAGAGAAGGGAGTTGTGGAAACAGATATGACACTATTGTGGAAACAGATATGACACTATTCAGCGTTACTTTCATCTGAGGAGCTGTGAATCAGTGAGTTTTCCGTTTTTCAGCACAACAGGGATATTGCGGAGTTGGATGGACCTACTTCGACGAAACCGACGCTTGCTACAAGGTATGCGTTTACGTCAACGACAAAAAATTGGAGGATGTAGTTCATATGAAGGCATCTGCCCTTATGGTGATGAAAACTTCGTTTAGTGCCAAAATAATCACATACCGAAACAGAGAGCCTGCGGTAATCACACGTTGCCGAACATATCTACTATCATCTACCATGTATCCTTAAATAACTCTGACAAATTATTTTTGAGAGTAACCCGTAGATGAACATCAGCAACAGCGACACGATATCGTTCAAAATCATATCATTCTCTGGTTTTGGAGATACATAGGTTGTGTGGGCTCCATGTCTTGAGTCATAAGTTCTGTCCGATTTTCGCTGCTTTGTGTTCGAAGCAGTTGTTTTAAGAGAATTTTGCGTTCGAAGCGGTTAAAAAAACTTGTGTTGTTCTTATTGATACAATGCAAATTTTTAAGACTGATCAGTCTGGTGATATTGCAGACCTAAGAGTGCAGGTAGGCTAATTACAATATATTAGGTTGTCCCGAAAGTTTTGTCCGTTTTTTCAACCTATCATAAAAACATGTGGAACGAAAATAGAAAAAAGCTTCAAGCACTACCTGACGCATCTTTTCCACCTCTTTCTAACTGTCATGCTCCCATGCCCATTACTCTTTTGTTCACTGAGATAAACGCCGAAAATTCGAACCCATGGTTTTTACTATGTCCAAGTTTGGCAATTTTTCACAATCTTCATTTTCAATTTTCGGAAAAGCTCTGGTTACAGTTAGATAGAGCAAACCAAGGGCAATATAATGCCATTTTGCGGCAACTATAGCTAGCCTTGAAAATTTTTTAGAATTATTTTTCTGATGTTGTCAAATTCCATTTTTGGTGATGCCAAAAGCCAGAGGTCATGAAACGGCGCACAACTAAGGTGTTATTCGATGCAGCTTTTCCTCCACTTTCCAGTAAGTGTATTTCCTCTCCGATTTGTGGGGTCTTTAGCGATAAAATTTCCATAATTCTTGAATTTGACCCCGCCCCAGCCTATAATGTGAAATGTGCAATCTTATATTTCGAAGCGGTAAACGCTCAGTTGCTTAGTAAATATAGTGAATAATCGTAATCGACTTTTGAAAGCCTCAAAATCCGATGTTTTTTTAGTGTTCGAGGCGTTTCTGTATTTTGGAACTTCGAAAAAGTTTTAGAAAAATTATCTTAAAAAATACTGAGAAGCTAGCTGAATGCGCCAAAAAAATGCATTGCATTGCCCGTTGCTTACTCTATCTGATCGCTATCAAAGCTTTTCTGAAAGTCATCAATGAAGATTGTGAAAAATTGCCAAAATTGGACATAGTAAAAACCATGGGTTCGGAATTTGGGCGTTTATCTCAGTAAACAAAAAAGTAATCGGCATACTATCATGACAGTTAGAAAGAGGAGGAAAAGATGCGTCGGATAATGCTTAGAGCGTTTCCCTATCTTCGTTCCACGTGTTTTTATGATAGGTTGAAAAAACGGACAAAACTTTCGGGACAACCTAATATAAAGAAAAAATAAAAAATAATGAAAAAATAAAGCCCAAAAATCACATGTTGAAAAAAAATTTACACAATTTTCAGCAGTTAATCGCTCAATAAGAATGTAATGTGCCTTGCACTGATTCGCTTGTGTATAGAAACCGCCTTGCTTGTAGATTTAATTGTCGGAAACTGATATATCATTTAGTCGTGCTATGATGCAAGCAAAAACATCCTGTAAATGGTCAAAAAACGGCTTCTTTCATAAAAAGCCTCAAAACTTAATGGAATGGAAGTGGAATTATTTTGGTCAAAAATTAATCTCCTAAGTTTTCGCTTTTTCTACACATGATCGAACACGTGGAATGCAGACAAGAAAGGTTTTAACTATTTTGATGCAGTTTTTCTTCCACTTTCAGCGATTGATTCTGGGCTATTTTCTTTTGTATCATAATAATAGCCGATATTTCAAATCCGTTGTTTCTACTGTGCCGAATTGTGAACTTCTGGAGGAGCTTCAATGACAGGGCCTTCTTCAGCTCACTTTTCAGTATTTTTTTACGATGATTTCTTCGAGTACTCACTTTTGCAGGGTCTTGTCATACAACAAACTCCAAGAATTCTTTGGAATTCAAGAGTTTCAAAGTTGATCATCGTTCAACATGATCGTATAAAACAAATGAGCGTTCATAGCTTCGTAATAACGAATTCCGAAATATTGTGTACAGTTAATCGGCGCTTCCAATATGAAATCACGATTATTTCGTCCGTTAAAATCCAGCCGGGAAAAATGACACCTATCAGAAAGAGTAGAAAAAGCTGCATCGAACAACATCGAGTTGCTTTTCCGCTTGTATCCCGTGAGGTTCGGCCTAGCCAAATATGGAATTAATTAACATCAAAAAATTATCTGAGAAATTATGGAAAGTCAGCTACAGATGACAGTAGAACATATGATAATGCAGTTTGTTTACCCTATCCATCTGTCGTCAAGTCTTTCCAGAAAATCAAAAAAAATTTTTTGGAAAACTGCCAAACTTGATCATGGTGAAAATCATGGGCTTGAAATTTCGACGGTTATCTTCTCACTCGCAAAAGGAAATTGCCCGTTAGCATAACCATTGAAAACAGGAAGAAAGACTGCTGTATATAGTATTTTTTGATATCTTTGATTGTTTCCATGTGTTTTTATCGTAGATAGATCGAAAAATGGAAAGAACTTCTGGAGCGACATAATATTAGGTTGTCCGGAAATTAATGCCCGTTTTGAATTTCAACCGCAATAAGTCATACACTCTTCATTTCTAAATATACTGCAAAGTACCATTCGATAGAGCAAAGCAAGCTCTACAAGATGGCCATCTTGCTTTTGCAACAGCTCTCATCCATCTCGAGTTTCGAGCCAAAAACTAAAAAGACTCAGCAGCCCGAATAATCGAAAAAAAATCGTAACTCAGTTCATAAAAAACCTACAAAAATTCTAACTTGTTCACGCAAACACTATCCACATAAGACATCAATATACGCCGTTGCCGTATTTTTTTCTCTGTTAGAAACCAAGAAAACGGAAATTTTCATGCATTTGCCAAAGTGATGCTGTGCCGTCTTCACATAGGTAATTGTATACCACAAGCCTGTAGAAGCACAGACTTAAATTTTCAGCTCCCTACAAGCTTTAGTTCTCGAAAAATTTGAATTTTAGCTTGGACCACCTAACTGGGGAAAGCTATATTCGGTATTTCTCGAGAACTAAAGCTTGTAAAGAGCTGGAAATTCAAGTCTGTACTTCTACAGGCTTGTGGTATACAACTACCTATGTGGGGACAGCACAGCATCACTTTGGCAAATGCATGAAAATTTCCGTTTTCTTGGTTTCTAACAGAGAAAAAAATACGGCAACGGCGTATATTGATGTCTTATGTGGATAGTGTTTGCGTGAACAAGTTAGAATTTTTGTAGGTTTTTTATGAACTGAGTTACGATTTTTTTCGATTTTTCGGACTGCTGAATATTTTTAGTTTTTGGCTCGAAACTCGAGATGGATGAGAGCTGTTGCAAAAGCAAGACAGCCATCTTGTAGAGCTTGCTTTGCTCTATCGAATGGTACTTTGCAGTATATTTAGAAATAAAGAGTGTATGACTTATTGCGTTGAAATTCAAAACGGGCATTAATTTCCGGACAACGTAATACAATGCCGCTCACATTTTTTGAAAAAAAGAGCGAATCGAAGTAGACTTACGCGACGGTTGCGTAAATCTACTTCAATTCGCTTCTCTTTTTTTTCATAAAATATGAGTGGTACTGTATAATCGGTCGCCGCAAAAGTTCTTTCGCTTTTTTGAGCAAGCTCCACATTCCGCGAACAAAATTTATGAGAGATCTTGGTGTAGCATTCAACGCAGTTTGTCATGCTCCTTCAAACGAGTATTTTCACAAGCAATCAACAAACAAGCTCTATGAAAATTATCCAAAACTGCGACCAATTATCTTCCAACCATTTTTCTACATTTATATACTAATTCCCTAAAAAGTCCAAGAAACGCATAAATAGAGCATACTCTCTAGTTTACAAAACAATTTTCCCCTCCATAGCTTACTTTTCGAAATTTCCAAAGAAATTTTTTTGATACTATCCAAACATACATTGTCAACCTATACCTCATAAAAAAAAGGACGCCCTTAGATTCCCCTCCCCCTCCTCCCCTCCCCCTCCTCCCCTCCCTCCCTCCCCCCGCATACCGCAGAACATCAACTGGGAAGCAATTCGGGTGTTGTTCTATGCAACATCTTCTCTTTTTTCAAAGTTATGTTTCTTGTTTCTGTTTCGTAAACTCCTAGGTATAAATTCAACAAAGTTCATATTTTTGAAGGCTCCACAAGCTGCTGTACCTGGAAATTCAAAATTTGATGTTTTGAATACCTGAAAGTTCGTTTGTTTTGTAAAATTAGTACTGACTCATAACCAAAGTCGCGAATGTATTGGGTTCGAAGCTGTGCGTCTAATATGGGTTTGCTAAAATTCGATGATGTTGTTGAAAATTCTATCTCCCGATAAAAAAGTGGGTGGGTGAACAAAATTGTCTTGTATCCTATAGGGTTTGCTCCATTTATCCGTTACTTGGACACACTTCGGTAAATCAATACAAAACTTTGAAAAATAGCGAGACTTGACCTCCGTAAAAACCATGGGTCGTGGTTTTTGATCATTTTCTGAGAGCTGTCTTGCTGTACTGCAGTATAAAGAAGTACTTTTGGAAGTGCATGAAAAATTGAACCTTTGTTGTGCGGAATGTGGTGCTTGTTAAAAAAAAAGAAAATTACTTTATGGACAACTTAATACAAGGTTTAACGTAATCATAAAGACACTCTAAAAATTGTCGTAATTTGCGTTCTTGTTGATGAATCTGTACAAAACTTTGCTGTATAGTGCGCATTTTAGCCTAGCATGACCCTTTACAACTACTTCCAACTTTGTTGAGTTCGAACGAAGAAAAATAGAAAAATTCAAAAAGCCCCTACCAAAAGCTGGACAAAATTATAAAAACACTTGATTTTTTTGAACACTATCGCACCCCATGACCCTAAAATTTGTTTGTATAGTTATACTAAAATACGAAACATTCGTAACATTTGCGACCAGTAATCCCTTTCAAAGAAAAATGATCACTGCATTTTTTTTCTTTCAAAAGCGTCAAAAGTGAAAGTGCTTCAACAAACAGCTGGTTTGAGGAGTTTTCAAGATCTTTTCACTTGAGATGATAGTGACGGAATCCACTGAGCCTTTACGATAGTTAAGGTAAAGAGCGCTTTTGTAAACTCCGGTAGTAGCCGATGTTGAGGGGCAGACTCCAACCACATGATGGGATTGTCGTACTTTTGCACCACAAAAGTTGGCTTCCAAGCGACAGAAAATACTGTAATGCAGCCATTATGTCGACTGTACAACAGTAAACTAGTGTGCATAGTTAGGAAAGAATTTCGAAGTTAGCATTATGGTTTAGCCACAGTTCTCGTCCACTAAATGTTGAGTGGAGCGATGCTTAAGGAATGACCATGAAAATGCTTATTTTTCTTTCGACTTTACAGAATTTCTTCTGGGCGAACTTTGACGACGCCGAGAGACGATGTAGGTATTCAGGAGGACATTTAACTTCTATCCATAGCTATGCAGAAAATTCTTTTGTCGCAGGTAACTTAGTTTTGTTTGATAAACGTGGAATAATTTTTTGTGATTTAGAATTGGCAAAAATGGGTATCAAGTTGAGTACTGATGCATATGGAACTTGGATAGGTCTGGTACGATCCGATTATTTGAAGAAAAGCTCGGCTAAGAACTGGGTGTGGATGGATGGTACAAAGGTTGACTACCTAGCATGGTCTCCGACAGAACCAGATGACTATGGAGGAACACAACGCTGCGCGCTGGTATGAAATTTATATAAACGGACATTCAATGGCTGGCGCGAGTATTGCAGTTAGAATAATCAAAAAAATCGGAGTACCATGTGTGGCTTCACATGAGACTGCAGCAGCTGCAGCGAATGCTCTGCTGCAGCTGCACTGCAATTAGCTGATCGGAAAACTGACCCTTCAGAAGTGTGCTGTCTCTGCAACCGGCACAGTCGCTGCAAGTGTTGTAATCTGAGGCAGTCCTTTGAAGGAAAGTAATGACGGGTAAAGACGTAGTTCACTGTTTGATTTAACGTTCCGTTGTCTGCTTAGCCTCACATACGTTGTGCTCATCCAGGATTTCACAATATTCTTTTCAATGTGCCGACTTGAACGCCTTCAAGGCAGTTGCTTGGAAATGTGCACTCTTGCAAGATTGATGGTGTACTTAGTGTACCGAAGCCCTAGTCCCATTTCCATATACGTGAATTCCTGAAAGCGACCAAAATCCCATCAGCTCCTCCCGCTTCTCGACTTAGGGGTTTCACTAGCTGAAACCACCAAACCCTGACAAGGTCCATCTTGCCGGCCACTGTCTTTGAGTAAAGCTCACATGTTGAGAGCGTAGAAAGAAAGCTAGATCTGCTGTTCATTCGAATTGCTCAAAACTTGATCAGCTCTACTGTAATGAGTTAATTTCCAGAAGAAAAGTGTAGCTTTTTTAGTACACCTAACGATAAACTGATAAAACCAGCTTTCTTCCTTAAGTACATATACATATACTGCCTGCTTTGCACGGAAAACGATATGTCATTTACTAATTGAGTTTGCTGAAATGAGCTGAATTGAATTTTCGTTTATTACGTATTTATCAAAGGTTGAAAGTTTATTTAACTAGACTGTCCAAAAGTTCCACGTCTCTCTTATCAAAGAAATTATACATTTTTTGACAGCTTTCAAACAAAGATTATTGGTCACATCGCGAAAGTTCGACACACATGAACACGATTTTGTAAGTTGAAAGTTGCACTCCTAAATTCCTCGAGTTTTTGTTCATATCAAGTCTCACGGCTTGCTATTTTGTAAGGAGTAACTGTGTATTATCAAAATGAACAACCCCTCCGTATTGCGGTTTTGGATTCATGAGTCTTTATAGATTTGCTTGATTTTGAAGTGTTAAAAATAGGGAAGTATTAACTCTTCGAAAGCACTTTGGTGTCTTTGGCTCCGTTGAAGATCGGAGTCAGCAGAGTGAGAGGAAGAGAACTTCTGCGATTATTATTAAGCAAGATCGATATCTGTTAGGTAGAAAACAATGAAATTCTGGTAAAGTCGATGTCTTTCTTGAAATGTAAACGGTTTGCGCTGACTGAACATTGTGAACAAGGAAAGGATACCAACAAAAGACACTGCCTTGAAGGGTACGGAAAACTAATTTTAAATTTTCCTTCTTTACTGTTGCTTTTGGGGGAGAAGTTATGAAAACATTTCTGAGAAGTCAATTACCCTAATTTCACGCGTACAAGGCGCGGGAGATTTTTTCTAACAGCCAAACACGGCAAAGGACTTCGTAAGCAAAAAACTATATACAGCGCTGTATATTGCCTGAGAGTATCGTGCCACATAAGTCTCGTTTTCCGAAACACAACGAGGCAGCTGAGCGGCACGTTTGAAAAATCGAAAAAGGTGCGCCTTGTACGAGTGAAATTAGGGTATATTGAGTAGTTCAACGAAACTAAAATCCTACAACCACTGTAAAAACATTAGTACAAAGACAGCAATATGTTATATCATATCGCATGTGAAGAATGCATTAAGCGATATGTTGGAGTGACGACATGTAGCTCAAAGATAGATTAAAGAACACACTTCCATTCAAAAATAAAGACATAAGCAACTTTTTACAATTACTTTAAAACATGTAGTAACAGAAAATAACTATTACATGTCCTCACTACAGTTTAACAAAAAAAGGCAGAATTACGAGAGACAAACATAAGAATAAAAATAAAGGAATCTTACTGTTGCGGCTCGGTGGGCTTAGCACCCCCTGCCTCGCTCGACTGCTTGCACAACCCTGCACCTGCTGCCTACAGACCTTAGTGCCAGTCAGCTATTTCGGCGTGTCCGACGCCTACCCCGCTAAGTGGCAAAAAACCATAACAAGAAACTCGCGACTAGATTACTAACATTTATCGTGAATAAATTACACTACGAAAGAATCTAAGCTATGAAAATACCTGAATTAAAGAGTAAGTTGCAAACGGGGCGAGTTCGCCTCGTCCCAAGCCACCGATGATCACCAAACTAAATCTAATACGTGATATCAGGGAAATCCACTAGGGACGGTCACACACTCGCTTCCGCGTAGAAAAAGTACAAGCCCTCTATGTCCCCGGTACCAACCTTTACAGAAAAACTCTAGACTTTCAAGCGTAAAGCGTGGCACAATGGCAGCCGCTATACTCCTCGAGGAGTATAGCATGGCGACGGGCGATCGCCAATCGATACGACTGCGGATCGCCAGTCGCCAACGTTAGGCTGCGTTCATACTGATTCCCATGTTCTGGAACTGTTCCCGCACAGTTCTCGCACTGTGCTGAAACTGTGCGGGAACTGTGCGGGAACTGTGCGGGAACAGCTTCAGAACTGTGCTGCATGCGCTGCAGCCGCCCCGCACCGTTTTGCGGCGGGAGTTGGAGAATTTTGACCGTTCTCAACGGTTTTTCTTCCAGATTTCGCTCATTTTGGCCTTAATCCTCCACCCCGCTTCCCTTTTTGATCAGCGATTGTTTATTCTGTCTTCTTGTTTTTTGCTCAAAACTACTTCATTTGTTCCAGGAAGCGGCTGCCCAGTTTCCATAGCCATCTGCCACGAATTAGGGAGTAGGAGAAATCCTGAAATTGCATGAGTTGGGACTTGTCTCTTGTTTTTCATGATTTTGGGCGTTCTTAGCCTTGTTCGTTTTTCCATGTCGTTGCTTCTCCGTTCTTTCTTCTACCCCGCTTCTCCTAGTGATGAGAAAAGCCGTAAATTTGAAGCAGGGTTGAGAATTGAACGCTGTTCTGCTTCATGTAACCGGGAAGATGGACTTCGTGCGCTCGTCCATCTTCTCTGCCATTTTTGTTCAGGCCTATTCATGTGTACTAACAAATCGCTGCGTAGTCTCGCATCGTCTTAAAATTGAAATAGACAAGTCTCTAGAACACATGAAGTAGGTCTGAACAAAAATAGCGATGAGAGAATGGACGAGCGCACGAAGGCCCATATTCCCGGATACATGGAGCAGAACAGCGTTCAATCCTCAACCCCGCTTCAAATTCACAGCTTTTCTCATCACTAGGAGGAGCGGGGTAGAAGAAAGAACGGAGAAGCAACGACATGGAAAAACGAACAAGGCTAAGAACGCCCAAAATCATGAAAAACAAGAGACAAGTCCCAATTCATGCAATTTCAGGATTTCTCCTACTCCCTAATTCGTGGCAGATGGCTATGGAAACTGGGCAGCCGCTTCCTGGAACAAATGAAGTAGTTTTGAGCAAAAAACAAGAAGACAGAATGAACAATCGCACGATAGCCCATCTTTCCGAATACACGGCGCAGAAAAGCGCTCATTCTTCAACCCCGCTTCGAGTTCGCAGTGCTGCTGATCAAAAAGGGAAGCGGGGTGGAGGATTAAGGCCAAAATGAGCGAAATCTGGGAGAAAAACCGTTGAGAACGGTCAAAATTCTCCAACTCCCGCCGTTCAAAACGGTGCGGGGCGGCTGCAGCGCATGCAGCACAGTTCTGGAACTGTTCCCGCACAGTTCCCGCACAGTTCCCGCACAGTTTCAGCACAGTGCGAGAACTGTGCGGGAACAGTTCCAGAACATGGGAATCAGTATAAACGCAGCCTTAGTGATCGTCAGTACTCGATATCGTACTGCTGGTAGTAACATCGACGTCGAATTTAAATTAGTAGAGGTTTGCGGAGCGGTACCTTCCTGTGATTACCGACAAGTTAATCTGGAGAAAATAATGCTATATAACTGAGTTTTGCAGGAGTTTTCTTTATGTGTTTCACAGTAGTGGGTGACTCTATAGGTTGTCTCCCTTTCGAAATGCCAGGTTACGCTGAATCAATTCAAAGGATGAATCTTGACTCAGTTGCGAATGTCTCTGATGCTATGAGGGAGCTGGAAGATATTGAAAGAACGGCCCGCGTACCCGGTCGGCCTTAAATGCGCCCACAGGCATGCTCATTTCATCAGCACGCCCTTCCACGTGTTCGGTGAATACCTGTCTTCGCACGATCTGGCATCGGGCTTACACACAGTTGACGCCACACGAATATGAGGATTTGCATCAGTCACTGGCCCCAAAACTCGAACATTCACCAAACGCAGCAACCGACAGAAGGGCATAAACGCCTCTTTATTTATTTGCGGTGAGAAGTTTATTCGAGATTCGTAGAATATGTCTTCTGATATAAATGTCAAAGTCACTTAAGGTATGTTGGGTTTGGTCCCACTTTTGTGGCCCTTACTCAGGAAGTTTGTTGTGGACGCAAAACGGTCTCAGATATTCTTAGTAAGGTAACGAATGCCATGATAAAAGGTATTTTGTGAATTAATAGTAATGTATAAAGACCAAAAAAAAGCAGAACTGCAGTTCTCTCTGCGGATGCCTTCCCGGAACTCACAAGCGGATGTTTGAGGAATGCGCTTTCAAAACACAGCACAGATACGATTACCTGCGTGCAGTGCGTTTTCCTGACGGAAAACGCATCAGAATCAAGGTAGACATGCTAAGGTTTACGTTTACTATTAGTGAAAAATGCATTAAGAGGCCCAAAAATTCCGGCAGTATGTACTGGAATTACAAACAGTTTTATTCAATTATCTTGCTGGCGTCATGCGACGCACACTACCGCATGTGTCGTGTGTGGACTTGGACTTGCATGCAGCTCCATTCCTCAACTCATCATTAGAAAAGCGTGGTGTACCATCAAAATTTACATATCACGACATTGCTCAAGAATACATTATCAGCTCTTTAGAGTCTTCAAAACTTCCCAAT